AATAAACCTGAATTTGTGAATAAGTTACGAATCTTTTTGTTTGAAGAATAGTCAAATTTTCAGATATTGTAAAGTATGTTTTTTTTAAGTGCGACGGATTCCCATTTTAGGCAGTGAAAGGAACAGGAAACCAAATATTTCCAATATAAAATATTGAAAAAATGTGAGCTAATGTCGTCTTTTGTTTCATCATAAGCAAAGAAATAATTTAGCATAAATGTTTGCATATCTAACCCATTAACTCGACAATTGATTGTTAGGATTTGGGATAAAAATTATGAATCATTAAATGGAATAAAACTTCAAAGAAAGAAACAAATGTTTTTATTTACGACATTTGTTTACGATCTTTAATATAGACCAAACAAAGTGCGACTAATTTGCGTAGATTTTTCGGTTCTGCATTTTTAAAAGAGAGTCTTTGGGTTTACGTAATTTTAATCTTAGACCTTCAATTGTGTACAAGTTACAGGATATTTATTTTTGTTAATACACACATTCAACCAAGGTTATAATGCAAAGCATTTAATTGCAGTTGCGTATACTCTGCGTACATATTGAAACCAGTTCTCTCTGGGCGGAATTTGTAAACAAGAATAGATGCATCAGTGTTCGTTTAGTATCGGAGTATGACCAGAATATTTCAATGATTTTTTATGCGAAAGATGGATCCCATGTCAGGCTTCGACATCCGTCTTGTGTTTACATCACCGCCCAGAGACAGTTCACTGCAGTAAAAAAGATACGTACACCTCAATTATTTTCCTTGCATTATAACCTTACATTTAACTATCTACCTGACTACGTTGAGACTTAGTTTCAAGAACATGTACGTTAAAATAACACTATTAGGTTACATTAAATTGTGAATTTAAATTTCCTATTGTATTCAATAAGAAAACGGTTTGAGAATATATAGTTAATCCGAGAATATTGGTAACACATGCTAGAAATATACAAGGCACTATATCCGAGCATGTTGGGAACACATGCTAGAAATATACAAGGCACTATATCTGAGCATGTTGGGAACACATGCTAGAAATATACAAGGCACTATATCCGAGCATGTTGGGAACACATGCTAGAAATATACAAGGCACTATATCCGAGCATGTTGGGAACACATGCTAGAAATATACAAGGCACTATATCTGAGCATGTTGGTAACACATGCCAGAAATATACAAGGCACTATATCTGAGCATGTTGGTAACACATGCTAGAAATATACAAGGCACTATATCCGAGCATGTTGGTAACACATGCTAGAAAAATACAAGGCACTATATCTGAGCATGTTGGTAACACATGCTAGAAAAATGCAAGGCACTATATCTGAGCATGTTGGGAACACATGCTAGAAATATACAAGGCACTATATCCGAGCATGTTGGGAACACATGCTAGAAATATACAAGGCACTTTATCTGAGCATGTTGGGAACACATGCTAGAAATATACAAGGCACTATATCTGAGCATGTTGGGAACACATGCTAGAAATATACAAGGCACTATATTTGAGAATATGTTGGGAACACATGCTAGAAATATACAAGGCTTTATATCTGAGCATGTTGGGAACACAGGCTAGAAATATCCAAGGCAAACAAGTCCAAAACACATATTAGAAATATACAGGGCACTTTAACTAAAGTTTATAAAAGTTAACAAGGTTGAAATTGCCGTAAAACTTTTAAACTTGGTTGACTGACATATATTTTGAAATAACTAATTTAGGATATACGTGTCACATGATCACTAAATTATCAATAGACTTATTATATATGCAAAGGCGGTTTTAGGGGGGGGGCAGTCCATTACCCCCCCCCCCTCCTGGATTTTTACATAGTAATTTCTCGTTTAAACTGTAATCTTTATTAATGTATGTAAATAAATAATAAAGTTTACTTAAGAAAGTGACCACACTGTAAAATAAAAATACATATTATAAATAAATAAAAATAAAAATATTAAGGGTAAAAGATTGTTCACAAATTTGAGAGGAATCACTTAAAGTAGGAAATAGTAATGTATTTTTAATTATAAGAAACATTTACAAGAGACATTTTTCGTTAAAATCTAAATTGACAATCGCAAATGACCTTTTGTGATAAAAAAGCTAGTGAGAGTGTTCTTTTTCTTAAAATATGTCGATATGGGCATCAAAAGATCCGCCTTTCAAAGCCATATTTAAAGGAAAAACAATTTTACAAAATAATAAAAATAGGGAATATTTTGGAATTTGGTGATTTCCCTAATTTTTCCACTTATATGCTTCTAGATAGCATGTTTGAATATTTTTACAAACTGTTTACTGCGTAGAATTAGGCTTAGCAAGGGGATTTTTTTTATACCATATCGACGTATTTTGAACGAATTAAAAATTTCCTTGTATAACCAGTTTTTCGGCCACAAATAGCCATTGGCGATAGTCAGTTTTGATTTTATCTAAAAAGGCATTCTGAATGCTGCTTAACATTTAAAAAAAAAAAACATTAAAAACTAAAAAATACAATCGTGATAACCCAAGTTTTCCACTATGCTGTACTCGGAATATCAGGAATATGCACATTAGTCCAAAGTCAAAACGTATAAAATTTTTATCGACCACTGAAACTTAAACTGTAAATACTGATCAATGCTCTGATTGAACAGGTCATCTATTACCACCGACAGGTTGCTCAACCTGGTAAGAATGGCTATGCACTTAAAGAGACTGATCTCAATTTCGGACACCAGTGTTTTGAATGCCTTTATTTCAAGCGGCCCAAGAAAACTAAATTATTGTAGATTGGATTAAAGGATGAAATTTTTTATTTTTTTTATTTTAATGAAAAATTTCTTTATTTACTTTCAGCATTCTTTTGGTTATTTTTAAATCTAAAAATGCACATAAAGACTTCCTGCAGTCTACTGCTAGAAAAATTGACATGATTTCAGAATAATACCAGGAAATAAAAAAATAATTCTCCCTTCATTAGAATAATATTTTATTGATAATTTTTTTCAAAATCAGCCTACATTTGGTCAATGATGCAAAACAAGAAAAATAAAAATGGAGATTTTAAGAAAAATAGAGATATCAAAAAAAAAGAAGCTGCTATCATTTGATTATTTATACAATTTTGTAATAGTTTTTTTTAAACCAATATTCAAAAATTAATGTAAAAAAATGGATTATTGAGACATTTTTCTATTCTATACTATAAATAAACTGTAATTTTTGTCGGGTTAGGGCGGTAAATAGAACTTTTTAGCAAAGGAGGGGTGGGGGGAAATTTCTTTTTATAAGATTACAGGGGGGGGGGAATAAAATTTATATAGAGGGTTAAGGGGCGCGGGTAAAATTTTTTTTTACCTCCTCATGACGCATTTAGGTCTTATTTTGCAGTAGTATTTAATTATTATTTCTGATTTAAAATCATTTTCAGTTTTAACTAGTTTTTGATATAATGTAAACTCGCATAAATTTTAAAAATTTTCCATGGTAATTGTTTTCGAAAATAAAACAATGTGTTTTGATAATTTCGGTAAAAATGTTGTTGGGGGGCGTGGGGGGGGGGTAATATAAAGCACTAGCTGGCCTTACGATAATTATGTTACTTACCCTTTCCAGAAGGTAAGGGGGCCAAATATCTCATTCCCTCACTTTTTATACCCAGCACCAACATTATGAATGATATAACATTATCTTGCCAATGTAAAGATAAAGCTTTTAAATGTTCGATGATCGATTGGTAAAAATATGGTATTCTGTATCCTTTATAAATCTGTCAACTAGAATGAGATTAAGGTTGGGGCCGACAAGGACAGATCAATGAGATACGAATTGATTTCAAAGGAACTGAGTTTTAGCCACAAATTCTGATTTTCAAATCGCTATATCTTTGACACCTGACGGTGTTAGCCTTTTGATATTTCAAACTATTATTATTTGATCTAAAATGATTCATATGAGATATCTAAGGTCTGACATTCAAATGCAAAGATATAGGGATAAGAAAGTCAGAGTTTTTGACAAAAACACAATTCCAACATTAATATTTATGCATAAAAAGAAATGAATCTGTAAAAGTAAGGAAATTATTCTAAATGCAAGAAATGCATGTTCAAATGTAACCAAAATTGAATATTCATGCATTTAAAACATGTAACCAAATAAATACTTCATTTTAAAACTTATACTAATTATTTTAATAAGGTTTATTAATTTTCTTGACAAATGTTCATATTATCAATCAGAAAATCTCAAATCTCAAGATTGAACTTTTAGAATCAATCTGACAGAGTTTTAAAAATTGAGAAAAATCTGCAGGAGTTAAAATGTTAAAATAATGGCTGCCGAAATATGCTTAACCCTAAACCTGCTTGAGAGGGGGGGGGTGTTGAGAACCTTAAGTTGTGTTGCCCTGGAACTCTCATTTTTGACATTATCACCTTGAAATTTTTCGACTTCTAAGGAAAAGAAATCTAAATAACCCATAACTTTTAAACAACTTTTTTCTTTAGTGAGCTGGCCAATGGCCATGCATTACAATCCTATACGTTTACTCAAAGGTATTTATCTTTACATAATATCAGATCCCAAAGCCTTTGTAGGGTTTAGTTCACCAATTAGTTTTTCAATCATTCGTGAGGTAATTTCCAAACCAAGTATAAACTTTACCAAAGCTGGGAACTCTTGCATTGTGGATATCGAGATCACATGCTTGATCTCAATATTTTCTTAATCTACAGATTAATTCGATACCCAGTTAAGTGTCAAACAGTTATGCAGTGAACAACCAATCAGAAGTCGGGAAATTTTGCGTACAACCAATGAGAGAGTCATAGACATTGAGGATATCAAAATGATATCAAAATTGCCCTTCGTGGATATCGAAATCAAGCTAGCGCGCATTTAAACTTTAAAAGAAAAATGTTTCAATACAAGTTAAACAGGGAAAGTTAAGAATAAGAAAATCAATGAATTTGGTTCATATGGAGATACGGTGGTAAATATTATTTCATGTGTATTTGAGGAGTTTGTAATCTACAGCTACAGGTTTGGGGATTCAAAGGAGACTTACTTTTCAATTCATTCTCCAGGGGTATTTTAGAACTGGGGGATTCATTCTCCAAGGGTATTTTAGAACTGGAAGATTCATTCTCCAGGGATACTTTAAAACTGGAGGATTCATTTTCCAGGGGTATTTTAGAACGGGAGGATTCATTCTCCGGGGATAGTTTGGTGCTGGAGGATTCATTCTCCTGGGATATTTTAGGACTGGAGGATTCATTCTCCGGGGATAGTGCAGAATCATTCTCCAGATGTATATTAGAACTAAAAGCTCCATTCTCAAGATGCATTCTTGAATTGGTAGATTCATTCTCCAGATGTAAAATACACATGGCCTCCTGTGTCACCTTTCTAAAGAGAAAAAAACCGTAATGAAAACGAGAATTTATTTTTGATTTCTCCTAATAGTGAATATTTTTTAAGAATTATCTTTTTATCAGGTATTGGAGCAAACGCTTTCTTTTCCTTCCACGCTTTTGAAATAGAACAGTGGTTTATAAATTTTAAACGATTTTGAAACAGTGGTTTATCAATTTTAAACGATTTTAAAATAGCTGTTTATCAATTTTAAACGATTTTTCAATAATTGTTCATCAATTTTAAACGATTTTTCAATAGTTGTTTATCAATTTTAAACGATTTTGAAATAGTGTTTTTCTTCTCATACAACAAGCAAGAATAATGTCGGTAAAATTGGAAAAAGATATAGTCCTAAAATATCTCAACACTAAGAAAATTTTCTAATTGTTTTTTATCTGACTAAAAACTATCAAAGAAAAGGGTTGAAATGTACCTGCACCTAAATAATTGCTCCGCTCCATATTCTTCAACTGTCTCTGGGATGTTTAAAGTCTCCGACACAAGTCTTGACATTCTCCGGTCACACTTCCCACCGATCCTGTCCTTCTCTAGGTTTTCTGGTCCACTGGCAAAGGTTGGGGGGTTTTCCATGTCTTCTGAACTACTGGAGAAGGTTGGAAGGAACTTGTTCTCTGATTCTGAAAGTTCTCGAGCTCGTTTATAGGTTGGAGGAGGGGAGAGATGATCTAGTAGAGTAAGAGAAGGTCTAGTCTTAACAACCTTGTTCAGAAATAATTAATTCTTTAAAGGGAGTGTTCGCCAAAATGAAAGGGGGTATAGGCGAACGGCGAAAAATAAGCTCTTTTGATCGCTACAAATATTACTTCTACCTGTTGCGTCTATAAGGAGAAAATTGTTAAAAACGACTCATGCTGAAGAACGTAGCGTCCATATAACTTTAGAAAGTTGCAAGATTCAACTCGGATCGTAAAGATCATTCAAATACAAACAATAGTCATCGATTATTCTTCGACACATTCGTATATAGTTAATTTATATCATAATATTTTAGATTAAAAAAAAAATAATATTTCGCTGGCGCTGGATTTTCGAAAATTCCTGGAAAATTTAAGAATATCGTCTTCACATACTTTTTAATTTAACGTAAAAAACTATGGGGGGGGGGGTTAGGGGGGGAAATTAACCCCCCCCCCCCCTTCCATGCTAGATAAGGTTAATTTGTTTTCAAACAGTTACTTGAAATTATGCCCACAATCGACATATACCCAACAACGTAACAAAATGATGTATAAAACAATTAAATACTAAATTATCAAATTTAAGAATAATAATTGTGAAATTTCATGTTTGTAAATAAAATATAATTGTTGAGACATTAATTGTTTTACCTGTGAATATGTTGGCGGAAGATCTTTCTTTGGATCAGAACTAGTAGGTTTTGTATTCCAGAATACTTGAAGCAGTGTTATATTCTAAAATAAATATTTTTTATTTCAAATTTTATTTATCCTGAAAGAACGTGATCCATTTTTCGTATTTTTCTCCTTAAATTTTTGTTTCATACATTTATATTGCATACTAGACCTATTTATCACGAGAACTGACAAATAGAAATTAGAATATAAATATTTATGTCAGGATGAGTGCTTTGAAGTTTTATTTATTAAAATTTTAGATAATGGAGCAATGGGTAGATTTTGGAACCAAGCTTAGAGCCCTAGCTAGAGGTCATATATCTAAAAAATGGCATGCCATGGGTGCTGAAAAGCTATTTTTTTAAATAGATAAAAAGTCATTAATCAGAAACAAAAAAGTTGTATTTCGAACCGCTGAAAATTGTTTACCTTTATAATTCGATTTTTAGAATTGGATTTATTAACAATCAAAAAAGATTTTTGCTTCTTGCACATTTTTAACCTTGTTTCTTAATAATAAAAAGATCTATGTGAAAGGAACTGATATTTTGGATGTTTATATTTGATGAATTTTTATGAATTTCGTCAGATCAAATAAACTAAGTTTATCATAAGGGTGTTGAGGAGTTTAAATGTTAAAATAATGCCTGACGAGATATTCTTAACCTT